ATTGTATTCATTTAAAGTACTTAAAAAATACAAATCATATTTGCAAATTTTATTCATTGAAATTTGGAAGATGAATCACGTTAACTTGAACTCTGTAAAATCTAACTTCTGTCTTAAAATGCCAGTTAATATGAATTCCGTCGACTGAATGGTAACAGATTTAGGTGCTTTTTTAAGAAATTTCTTTGCATTTATTAAGTCTTCTTTTCGGGAGACAATAACTGCCTTTTGAGGCCACGACGTTGGTGGTCGAACCAATACTTTACCATTACAGGAAGTAATAATACCTGTAAAAAGAGTTTTCGTAGAATAAAATCATAATTAATTATTAATATTAAAATAACATACTTTTCAATTCTGGTACAGGCGGCGGTGCCACATTAGGAGTTAAAACAATTGTGTAACCTTCTAGAAATTTATGATCTTTCGCTTTTTCTAAGCTATCCCGCAGTTTAAAGCCAAATTTAGCTTCAGCCGCAGAATCTTTTAATATGTAATTCTCTAACTCTACAAAATGGCCAGCCTTTTCACTGTCAACCAACCAATCGATTGAAACTATTGGTACAGACAGTGCTAAAGCACATAAAAATTTAACAGTTCTTCGCACTTTATCTGTAACCAGTACACTACATCTTGTTGGTTCTTCGACTTGAGACGCACCTATAAAAAAAGACATTAAGAAAAATTTATAATTGCATCTTTATCATTATAATTATTTCATAAAAAAAATTTAATACTCACCTAATTTTGTTAATAATTTGTTATAGTCGTTGTTTGAAATACCCGTGAATAAGATTTTATGTTTTATTCTTAATGGCGATGATGTTGTAAATGAAGAAGACATATTCCTACGTGATCTGTTAGGCGTAGAAAGTATCGATGCAGATTCGATGCTGGAATTTATCTCTGAAAAAATGGTCTCTTCGATTATATCTTCCTTTTGCTTTTTGGTAGTTCTAGTCTTTCCTTTGTTTTGCTTTTGTCGTTTACCTTTAGAATTATTCATTTTACTGGTATTATTATTCAAAGTAGTTTGATCAGCACTACTTTCTTTCACGGAAGAATCCGTAATTGATTGTGGGTGACCTCGTGTTGATCTAGTTGATCTGGTATTTTTTTTTGGTTCCTCGGTAGATTCATTTGTCGTAGAACTAACTGTTTTTGAAATATTTTTGGAAATCTTTGCACGTTTAATTTTTAAAGTGGGCATCTCAAAACGCATATCATCAGATTCGTAGATAGTAGAGGTGGTACTGCTATCCGTGGTATCAATATTCGTAGAAACAGTCGTGTTTCCACGTTTCCTTGTACTTTTCCTTGTGGAACCTTTCGAATTTTCCTTCACATCTTTTTTCATTTCTACATTTAAATTGGTACTTTGTCCTCTGAGCGTACCGTTTATAATCATTTCTACTTCCTGTGATTCCTCTCCAATCTGAGAACTGATATCTTCCACTTGAAGATCAATTTTCCTCGTTATTCTTTTATCCGTACTTCCTTGTTTTCTTACAGTTTTATCATTTTCTTTAATTGAAGTATTTGAAACTGTTTTACCATTCGCGGCATTCATATGTCGACTTTGCTTGGTTTTATTATTGCTATTATTTTCAATCATCCACTCTGTTGAAGTAGATGGAGGTGTTGATCCTGTTAGAGCATACGAAGACATTCTGACAAGTTTTACCATTATCTGCTTACCTAAACTTAACTCATCGGGTGTTGATCTGTTACTTGAACTATTCATATCGAATGGCGAACTTCTTTTTGTGACGAAATCAAGGATATTTGCAGATTGTCTTCTGATGGTAATGGCATTTTTCTTTTTACTTCTAGTAGTTAGAGGCGCATCTGCCTCAAGGTCTTCCTTACGTTTTTTCAGAATGTTACTTTCAACCGTATCCATCATGCTGAGTGATCGTTTTCCAATACGTGACACGTTTGAAACCTTTATTTTCGTAGATTCAGCAGTTGCTTTTTCAACCGGCGCTTCTTTGCCCACCTGAAAAATAGATGAATGATCAACATTCTCACTCTTTCTAGAATTATGAGTTCTTTTATTGTTTTGAGTGGATTGACTCTGTTTCTTTTTTTCTTGCGAGACAATAGAAACTACCGGTTTCGATTGCGGAAGGAAATCTTTCTCTGCGGATCTACGTGAAGCTTCCGGCATCGTTACTTTTGACAATCTCGTAGACTTTTTATTCACTTGCTCATCTTTGTTCTTGCGCACAGTTACTTTGTTGACGTCCAAATTGTTTGAGAACGAATTGGAAGAACTTCCACAAATTGTCGAAGAATCTGATTTGCTGACAATATCATAAGGTTCATCATTTGCGTTTCGATTAGAAAGTGTCCTCCGCGATAATTTTTGCAGAACTCTTCTATTTTTGGGTGCAATCTTTATAGACACTTGTGTCGATCGATTGTTATTGATGTTTATTCTATACTCTGATGATGATAAATCTGGACTTGGTGGATTTGACAGGGTACCTGAAATTCTAACTTCTGGTAAACCGGCTAAAAGATCATCGTCATCATCTAATATTTTAGAAAGCTGTAGATGATGCTCACTATCAGTTGCTTGGTTGTCCATCTTCTTTGAACATTCATCTAATTCATCCTTATTACTCATAGATGCATTTAATTTTTCTATAAGTACTTTAGGTATATTCGATTCTTCATTTTTATTTTTCCTTAACGATTTTGGTGTTGACATTTTTTTAGACGAAGATTTTGGTGTTGACATTTCTTTAGACGAAGATTTTGGTGTTGACATTTTTTTAAACGAAGATTTTGGCGTTGATAGCTCTCTCGGTGCGGATCTTGGTGTTGATAGATTTTCAGATACAGATCTAGATGGAGTTTTGGATATGTTGCTGTTTTTTTCATTCACGATGCTAACAGATTCTGATGTTTCTTCTTTTTCCTTTTCTTTGTTGGATGTGTGTTCTACAAGGTCGACAGAGGCTTGAGAATCCGTCAAAACGTTACGCTTTCGAGGTGAAGTAAGAGTAGAGAAATAATTCTCTGTATTTTGTGAACCGATATCAGTATCTAAAATGAATCTGTGGGATTTTTTTCTGGGTATTGAACTCGAAGCTGAGTCGATTAATGATACATTTCTTAATTTCGCTTCTTTGGATTTTTCTGCCTCCTTGTTTGAAGGTGACTTGTTATCTACATTAGACTTATCACTTCTAGTAGACAATTTGTCCTCTGATTGCGATGACTGTAGCATGTTTTCAAGAACCTGTGTCGACATCTGCGGTTGCTCCTCAATAGATTCTTCACTCACATCCTGAAATATTGCATTCATATTTTTCTCCAACGTGTCGTTTAAACTTACTTTATTCGACAGTTTGGATTTCCTTGACTTGCTGGTGCCACGAGTTGATAGAGATTTTCGTACGTCATTTTCACAAATTAATTGAGTAGGCGCCGTTTCATAGTCGACGTCTTCAACGCTGCATTCTATTACAGGATTTGGATTCAATGGATGTAAAGGAATAGGTGATTCATCCTTACCAGTATCTAAAGCTTTCTCCTGAGGGCTAATTATTTGAGTAGGTGTATTGTCTTCCATTTCAGTAATATCTTCCTCGTCAGAACCTGTTTTGTTTTTTGTCACATTAATAGGAGGCCTACTTTCCATTATGGAAGGCTTGGCACTGGGAAGAACTTGCGTCGGTGCCACGTCAATACTTTCCTCTGTTTCTCTATCTTCATTTGTTTCCATATCTGAATCGTCGTTAATTATATCTTCTTTATTCTGTTCGGTAGATGGATTTTCGTTCTTTATGTTTACTGGTTGAGTGAGAGCATCAAACGGATCATCAGACTCTGTAGTTGAGTTACAGTCATTTTTAAATTCTTTGCTTTTGTTATGACGTAATTCAAATGAACAGGATGCTCGTTTCTGTTTCAAAGCTATTTCCGTGAAACGTCCTTCCTCATCGGTATTCGAACCTTCACTATCAGACACTTGATTTTGCGATTCTTTCCGCGAATAGCTTTGAAACACACCTTCCTCGTCGGTCTCGTCTGAATCATTCGCTACAAAAGAAGTTTTGAACGAGTAATTAACGCGTTGGGTTACGCCTTTCAAAGGACTTTCATTGATCTTAACGATCTGTGTGGCTGCTTCAAATATATTCTCATCTTCGGTACTACTGTTTCCATTCTCTTCGTTGACGTCATCTGTACGTAAAGCATTAGCAACCATCGATGATTTTGATCTCATTTCATCTAATGGCTGGGCATCGTCGATAAAATCTTCTAATAAATTTTGTGAACCAAGCAGGTTTCGACTCTTATCGAATTCCGAAGTTTCATCTTCAAAATTTGTTGTAAGTGATAATTGCAACCACTCCTGCGATCCTTTCTGAATGTTTCCCACGCATTCAGCTGCATCTCCACGCTTATCAACGTCATTAGAACAAGATGTGCTTTCGTTACCTTTCACATCATTATTCTCTTTTTCTGTTGACTTTTTCTCTTGTTTAATTCCTGATATTCCAGATTTTTCAATATCTTCGTCACTATCAGCTCGAGGTCTGATCCCTTGAACAGTAATCTTTTTCGGTGTTTTAATATCGTCGATGTCTATTTCATGTTGCGTTTCCATATCATGAATACTGACTTTCTGCTCATGAATGGAATTTGTAGCAGTTTTAATCTTTCTGCTCAGGCAAATTTTTTGCGTGTCAATGTCATGAATGTCATCGTTCGTTTCGTTGTAGGACTCGAACGACTTCTGCGTTTCCATATCGTGAATACTAAGTTTTTGTTCACCTACACTGTTCTTCCTACTTGCATTAAAACTTCGAGAATTGTCCGTGCTGTCGTCGGTGGAGGAATCTTGAATAGAACTTCTCAAGGTGCTTTTCGTGGACATCTTTGCAGGCAAAGTCGGGTATTGGAACACGGAATCTTTTTTGTCAGCTTGAGTGCCAGGGATCATGGACACATTTTCCCCCAAAGTGGATGAATTGTTCTACGCAGAATGTCCGTGATAACATAAGAGTGATGAGTGTTTTGGAGAAACAGGTGATAATTACCAACGACGAGTCAGGTGTTCCTGGAATGATTAATTGCTGTTGTTTTTGACGATTTGCCGATGGAGTTTCCGGGATTAAGGAATCGTCCATGGAACGACAAACTTTGTAAGTGGCTTGCACCACACCAAACTGCAGCACGTTTCCATCTTTGAGCTCGTAACATCGTCTTGGTCTTAAAAATGACTGTAAATAAAAGCATAAATTATATTGAAATTTTATTTAATTCTTGACTAATAGAGTATAATCTTATATATATATGTAAAATAAATTAATGTTTTGCACTTCACCTGAAATTTAATACTACAATTAATAAAACATTTCCTTAAAGCGATATTAATAACGAGTAAGTATGATTCACTCTGATCTTGTCTTTCTAGTTGAATCTCAATAACGATTCGTTGTACAAACAATAATTCATATTATGAATTAATAATTAATTACAGATCGTAAAATGCAATACATAAGAGCTAGATTTCAGTTATCTAATATATAGGTAAATTTTACATTACATTGTTTAACTTTGTCTTGTTAGAAGAATTCAGGTCACAAATCCACGCTGATGCCTCGCGGCTGTTGGCCTCGATCTCTGCATGTATCTTAGATACCGTCTGCAAAAGAAATTAATCTCTTTATTATAAATAGAAATGAAATTAATCTATTCGCTATTCAATTATCTTTGTCACAGTTTGATTTTTTAATATTAACGATAATATCTATTTTTAGTCCAACTGTTTGCTAGTTGCAGATTATTTATATTGCTCTTCGTGTTATGATTAAAGATTAATTTTTCACGGCTGAAATAGTGTTACAGTTGCGTTATTAAAGTTACAGTTCACGTGATTTCGATCAATAATAATGTTTACGTACTTTTATTATATGATCGATTAGATACACGTTCGATTGTTTATCACGACGTTCTTATTTTTATCGTTTGTTTACATGAGTGGAAATACGCGAATTTGATAGACCACATCCTTATGAATTTTAAGACTGCAATGATTTTCATTCATTCTTTAAGATTAATGTCGTATGTAAATATTTCAAATTAGTTAACGTTACAGTTCTCTTAATTTTATAGCTGAATTTAATAATTCTTTAAGAACAGCCTTATGCATGATAATTCATTAAATGAAAAACATGTACGATTAACAAATTGTTTTGAAATATCACCGATATAAATAGCAATACAGACGTTAACATTCAAGAATTCTATATCTTAATGCATACATCGTGGGTATCATGTTTATATATATAAAAACATATCTGAAAATTTGGTTAGATCACATAAATTAAATATATGTACATATACAGAACGAAAACATTTAATCCGTTCTGTTGCGCAACTTTAAGTAATGAAATGATAAAAGGGGTGTACAAAAATATATACTTATTCTACATGATTAATTTGTAGACAAATATTTTCAATATAACGCCTGTACGTATCAATCTTCTCGGTGTCTCACGCAAAAGTACGATACGTAATGTCTTGACATTAATTTAAATTTATAATTCCGATACGCAAGATACATACAGAGGTTTTTACATGCAGCTTTTTTCCAAAACAAAATGCTTTTCTGCTAAAATGTCCACTAAGATAACCATATTACTTAATTCTGTTAAGTTAAGAGTAATTATCTTTTAGAAATATATTCTTATCGGTAATAGCCATAAAATGGAAACATTAAATAATGCGATAAGCATTCTCCGCTTAGAAACAGATACCCATACAAATATAATACGACATATCGTTTAACCAGTACACATCAAATAATGAAAACATAGAGCTTCCTTCGCTAGAACAATGTGAGCCTTTTATCTCATCGCGGTTAGTGACCATTGAAACAAAAATTATATCTACGTACACATACTTCTCCATTTAAATATACATACACAGAAAATGGACTACACGTTACGATATACCTCGACATATTCCCGATTTCGAAATTCAGCGTAGGGAGAATAATCAGCTGATTTACATGCACGAACGGACTTTCATACGTACGAGAGTCTTATACCGATTATTCTTTATTGTATATCTATCTGACACAACACAAATGAACGACACTTAAAAGGTGTGTAATAAATAAATGAGAATGGTCAAGCCGGCTTCACTCTGTCGAAGATGTCGAAGCCCACGCTTCTTCTGCTTCTTTTCGCTCTTGTGACTCTGACGTGGTCGTTGGAGGAGGCACCAAGGGTCAAAACTCCTCTGGGTCCGGTCAAGGGATACTACAAAGTGTCCGCCAATGGAAGACAATATGAAGCATACCAGGGAATCCCTTACGCGTTGCCTCCAGTAGGAAAACTTCGATTCAAGGTAAAAAAATGTCCAGTTCCTTTCATCCTTCAAACTGCAAACATTATTTAACATAATCAGTTCTTATCGACAAACAACGTTATATCATTGCTTTTTAACATTTAACTATACGCCTTGATAATTGGTTGTTGAACTTGGATTATAGTGATGATGGAAATTTTCTTTAGCCTCCTCAAAGGATATCACCATGGTTAGGCGAACTTGCTGCGACGAAGTTTGGGTCTCCTTGCTTACAATACACTCAGTTGCCCTATGATCCTAGTGATAGAGTCGAGGGCGCTGAAGATTGTTTATATTTGAACATTTACGTGCCGGCGGAGAGAAAAGCATCTTCTAAACCATTGCCTGTTATTTTCTGGATTCATGGAGGCGCTTTTCAATTCGGTAGTGGAATGCAAATGGGCGCTAAATATCTTATGGACGGAGATGTCGTGCTTGTTACGTCCAACTACCGTTTAGGAATGCTAGGTATTCTGAAGTTCTACCTCTTTCCTTCTGAAAGAGGATTCGAAGCTTCAATTACAAACAATTGTAATGTTTTTTCTAAGGTTTTCTAAGCACAGAAGATGAAGTAGTTCCTGGTAATATGGGACTGAAGGATCAAAGTATGGCGTTACGATGGGTTTCAGAGAATATTGAGTGGTTTGGTGGTGATCCAAATAAGGTGACTTTAGTCGGTTTGAGCGCTGGTGGTGCCAGTGTTCATTATCATTACTTGTCTCCTACGAGTGCTGGTCTTTTCCAAGGTACTTGCAAACCACATTTGTTTCCAAGAACATTCTGATACTCTTTTATATTAATATTTTAACTTTGATGAATTTTCATAATTCTCTTAATTGTATAACACAGGTGGTATCTCTATCAGTGGCACAGCTTTCGACTGCTGGACACAAGCAGAAAATTCTTTGGAGAAGGCTAAAAAATTAGGAGCTCTTATGGGTTGTCCCACAAATAACATCAAGAATATGGTGCGTTGCCTCCGATATCGTCCTAGTAAAACTGTAGTTGCAGCTCTTGGTGAATACATGGTAAGTGTTCTTCATGATTATAGTAGCGGTATGTTCGCGTAATTATTCGTTAAGAATTAACGAATTACTTCTAGGCATTCTATTATAATCCATTTACACCATTTGGACCACTTCCGGAGAAATTCGGCGATGAACCATTTA